GCGGGGGGCGCCGGGAGCGGACGGGGCGGCGCTGCGACGTCTCCGGGCCCGGGCGCCGCCCCTCGCCCCGCCCCCCCGCTGCCCCCGGCTCCCTTCGGCCGCGGCGCCGCTGCCCTAAGCGGGAGGGCGCGGCGAGAGTGGGAGAAGCGGTCGAGGAGGCCCCGAGCGTCCCATGAGCGCCACGGGACGCAGCTGCAGAAGAGCCGCCCGGCGCCGCTGGCCGCTATGCGTCTCCCTCCGGCGCCGTGTCCGGGAGGGCCCGGCGGGAAGGAGGAGGCGCGGGAGCCTGGGCGAGGACTCCGAGGCTGCGACGGCGCCTCCGGCAGGCTCGGTCGGTCGGCGGCTGCCCCGGGCGGCCGCAGCAGCAGGCGGGAAGTAAGCGCGGGGCCCTCGGGAGGCCCCGAAGTGGAAATGGGGCAGCCGCCGAGGGAGCCCGCAGAGTCCTTGGCCGCCTCGCGGAGCCTCGAGGGGAAGAGGCGTCGGCCACGTCCCCCATCTCCTGGGCTGGAGACCCAGGAAGGACCGTGATGGGCCGGGGCAGCAGCGACCCTGAGGAGAAGAAGCCAGGAATACCGACGAAGGCTGCCCAGGGAGGAAGAAGAAGACGAAGGAGCTGCCCAGGCCCCGTTGCCATCTCCAAGGCCCTGAAGCGCTGCGGAAGAAGGGTGCCTTCCCGGGAGGAATCGGGTCTCCCCAGAAGCCCCCCCCCCCCCGCCGCCCCCCCCCCAGGCGCTGGTTCCACCCATTTTTGAGCTCCCAGTGAAGTGGGCCCTGGTCTCTGCAGGCACGGAGGATCCCTGGGTGCAGTTCCATCCCAGGGGGCTGATGGGCCCCCTGACAGAGCCGGGGTAGAATCCCCGAATGAGGGGGCCCTGCCACGTTGCCCTGGCTGCAGCCCCCCAAGAGGGGGCAAGCAAGCAAGCAGCTAATGGGCCTGGCGGTTCTGCTTCTGGGGACGGGGAGGGAGGGAGGGCACCCCGTTTGGGAGTCCGGAGGGCAGTGGAAAGCCAGGCACTTCTTCAGTGCCCGCATTGTGAGGTAACCAGGGGGTCACAAAGGGCAGAGCTGCCCGGGGCTTCTAGCCCTGGAACGCTGGGAAGCGCCCACTGGGCGGAGGCCTCCCCAGTGCCACCTGGAGAGCTTGCCTGGGCCAGGCGCCAGAGGCTGGACCAAACGGGACCCCAGGGCGGGGGCGGGGGAATCTGCCATTCCTGCTCTGCTCTCCCTCATGCAGATTGGGCTTGTCAACTGGACGGGGGGCTATCTCACCTGCGAGTGCTATGGAGATGGTGTCAGTGTCTTGGGGAGCTCGCTGGGAAAGAAACAGGTGTGGAGTGGGGACCGGTGGCTGGCTCTGGGCGCAGTGGGAGGGGCTGAGCTCCTTCGTTTGTTGAATTTTATTCTTTTGGGTTGGGAGAATGCTCTCCGTTCCTTGGGAACCACCCCTGGGCGCCTTGAAGTCTGCCCCTCCCTCCCGCAGCCTCCCATCAGGGCAGGGGGAGGGTTGCTGCTGGCAGACCTCGGAAGAGGCAGAGAGGGCCCTCAGGAGAGCTTGAGGCTCCTGGGCCACCTTGAGGGCATAGAGCTGGGAGAGTCCCACACAAGCACCAGTGTGAGGCCAGCATCCTTGGGAAGCTGCAGGGAAGGGGACCCCCCCCCCTTTGGGGTTCCCTGGGGCGTCCAGGCTGACCTGGTTGGGGGGAGGAGCCAGTTTGGCTGCAGGTAAGAAGGAAGAGCTGCAGCCTTGGATGGGAGCCCAAAGCCAGGCTGGGAAAGGCCTGGCTCTCCTCTCGGCCGGGGGCGGCTGGGAGCGTCTGCTCTGGGCAGGCTCCTCTGGCCAGCTGTCCCTCACCCTCCCCTTCAACACTAGACCGACCAGAGCGGGGCCACCAGGGCGGTGGGGCTTTGCCCGGCTGCTCAGCCGGGACGGTGACTGGCCACTTTTGCTCTCCCAGACCTGGAAGCTGAGGGTGACCACAGAGCAAGTGGGGAAGCGGGACGTGGTGGCCCTGGTTGGGCATCAAGGGCAGCACCTCCTGGTGGAAGCAGATGGCACGGTGCGTTGTGGACGGCCGGGGGCCGAGAAGCGGAGCCGGTTTCTGCTGGAGGTCCATCCGAGTGGGGCCTGGACCCTCCAGCAGCTGGAGAGCCAGAAGTTCCTGGAGTCTGATGGGGAGGACGTGTTCTGCGTGGCCCGAGGCCTGACCGCTCACCACCTGTGGATGCCCCAGCTGGCCGAGCATGTGCACGTGGTCCTCTTCAACCCCAGCAGCCAGCTCTACGCCCGGACCGACCCGGAACTGAATCGGGTCTGGGTGGATGCTCCCGTGCCCTACCTGGAGGAATGCGGCTTCCTCCTGCGGTTCAGGAAGGGGGCCTGCCACTTGGAGACCTCCACCCACCAGTTTGTCTCCAGAGCAGAGAAGCTGGCCGCGATGCCCTCCGCGGAGACGGCCTTTCACCTGAACCTGAAGCCCGGCTGCCTGGCCTTCCTCACGGACAGGGACGGGCACGTCTTATACCCGCAGGGCAGCCGGGGGCTCCTCTGCCTTGGGGACCACCCAGAGGAGAACGAGGAGTGGTTTGTCATCCAGCGGTGCCCCCCGTGGGTCAGCCTGGGAACGAGAGCCAACCGATTCATCAGCATCATTTCTGGCAAGTAAATCCCTGTTTTTCCAGCCCAGGACTTGTCCCACCCTTGCCTGGTCAGGTCTCTGCACACCTGAGCCACTTCAGAGTTCAGGTGAGGACAGGAGGAGGGCTCTCCTGCCACCCTGTGGCGTCTCTTGAAATAACTCTTTTAACTTTTTATTATATTGCTGTGTTAGTGAAGTGGGCGGCATGGAAATTTAATAAAGAAACGAATAAAGAAAGCTACTCTGAAGTCTGCATTCTGTTAACGGATCACAGGGTTTTTTCTGGGAGGGAGGGTTCGAAGGGTTTGCAGAGGCTTTCAGCTACTTTTGGCACAAACTGAGGAGCCAAGTGGCAAAACTCCTTCCCCTCTCGATTCTCTCTCGCTGTCCTCAGACTCCGAAGTTTACGCTGGTCCTAAGAAGCTGAGCCCAATGTCCACGTTCCTCTTTGAAATGGACTCCCACAGCCAAACGGTGCAGATAAAAGGTGTCCATCACAAGTACCTGGCTCAGGTCAGTCCCCCTGCTGCCGCTGCCCCATCCCCGCAGCAAGTGGGGGGGAGGGGGCAGGATGAAGCCCCTGGGGAGGGAGCTGTGCGGAGAGATCCAGCACTGGGCTCTGGGCCGGGGACGGAGACCGGCCTGGCAGCCACCCACCAGGCACGAGCAAGCCGGGCCGGCAGGGGCCCTTTGGAGCTGAGGCAGGGCAGGCTCAAGGGGGCGAGCTGGAGCCCCAGGGAGTCCGTCTGAGTCTCGGGGTGGGGTGGGGGTGGGTGGGCTGGGAACGAAGAGCGGAGCAGCGGAGATAGCCTGCCTAGGGTGGAGGGGCCTCCCTAGCTTGACTAGAGATGGATGGCCCTGCGTGAGCTGCTTGACACTGAGCAAGGCAACCCGATGACCATCCGGGCTGCTTCCGGCCCCTCCTTAGCGGGAGGCGGGAAGGGCCATTCCTGGCCTTTGAGCCCAGTTTTGGGAGAGCCTGCGTGGCTCCCAGGGTGTGGCTCCTGTCCGCCGCTCAGCACGTCTGTGAAGAAGCCACCTTTGGCCAGGCTTTGCCCTCTCCCTTGATTTCCCTACTAGCTAGGAAGGGGCATCCCTTGATGGCCCTGGGGGCAGGGCTGGGGGTGGGTGGGATCTAATTTCTGCCCTCACCCCCCTCTGCTCACCCTTCGAGGGAGAGCAGATCCTGCCCGCTTCCCTCCAGTGGGGGAGGGCTCCTAGGAAGCTTCCAGAAAGCATGCCCCCCCCCCCCACCGACCGTGGCATTTCTCTTCCCCAGAGACCCTTCCAGAGCGTGCTGGCCAACGGGGCGGCCAAGGAGGCAGAGACCAGGTTCCAGGTCCTCTGGCATTACGGGAAGGTCTTCCTGAGAGCTCCCAGGGGCCGCTACCTGGGAACCCTGCCAGTGGGGCTGCTGGTAGCTCGAGCCACACACCCAGGTAAGGAGGACCGGTGCCTTGCAGGAAGCCCAGGCCTGCACACCTTTGCCAGCCGTTCCTGTGTCCCTTGGAGGGGAGGGGGAGCAGAATTTGGCCTGGGAAGACCTTCCTTCCTGCCCTGTCCTCCGAACTCCCTCTGTTCCAGCAGCCGTGCCACCCATACTCCCTTGTACCCGCCTCCCTCAGCCCCTTGGCGCTCCCTTGCCCACCCTCCTCAACCTCCTTGCACAGCCGATTCCACCCCTCTCGCCCTCCGCATCCCTCGTGCCCCCCGTGTCCCTCCAGCTTCTCCACTGACCAGTTGTGGGGAGCTGGCAGGGCGCTGCCTGGCCTAACCACGGTGGGATTCAGTTGAAAGACGGTGGCTGGGCCTCTAAGCGGGGTGGGGGCGGTGCAAGGAGAGGAATCCCCGCCAACCTCCATTATGAGGGGAGGGCTGCCTTGGTGGGCCGCCAAGGCCCCGGCAGCAGTGAGGGCAAGGCCGCCCGTCCCCACTCCCAGCACCCTCCTCCATTTCAGGGGTCTCTGCTTGCCAGGTGCCTTCAGCAACGGCCCAGCCTCTAATGCACTCAGTGTTCAAAGTTCAAAGTTACCGACATCACCGAAAAGAGAGACTTGTGACGACTGTTTTTCACCCTTCACAACTGTTGCTGCATCCCTGGGGTCACGGGATCAAAATTCAGACAGGCCAAGGAATTGCACAGCAGGCCTCCAAATGAAGTCAGAGACACTGATGGGAACTTCTAGCTTTACATAAATAGATTTTACATCTATTTATGTATTCATCCATGTCTGTCTGTCTGTCTGTCTGTCTATATCTACGCTGTTTCCCTGAAAATATGTCCTACCCTGAAAGTAAATCCTAGCTTGATGTTTACACATGAACCCAACATAAGCCCTAATTCAGATCCTGCCCACTCCAGAGTGGACGGGTAGAAACTAAGCTGGGGGGGGGGTGCGGGGGTTTGGGTGCGTGGAGCTGCCCTACTGCTTCCCTTTGGACAGGTGTAGGCAGGCCTCGCACACCCCGACACCTGCCTGGCCGGCCCATTTCTTCTGCAGCCGGCAAGGCTGGCCAGGCTCTCCCAAAGGCCTCTGGAGCTGAGAACAAAGCTCCGGATAGATCCTGAAGGCTGCAGGGGCCTCAGGAAAGCCATGCCGGCCGCAGAAGGAGGAGTCCCTGAAGGCCTCCGACAGACCCGGTGCCTTTTTTGCTGCGGTGTGTGTGTGTATCTGCCGATCGATCGATCGATCGATCTCTCTGTCCATCCAATCCAATCCCCCTTCGTGCAGCAGAGGCGAGTCGGGCGAAGAGCAGCCGCCTGTGGCAAATCCCCGAGCGCAGATAGGCGGCACACTGGAGAAAAAGGCGGGAAAACAGGGAACCGCCCCCTCCCTCCCCACAGCAGCCAATCACACCACAGATCAGCTCACACCGGAGCCATCAATCAACCACCGCTGGGTGTTCTGGCTCCCTGCACAGCCCTCTAGCCGCTGAACTGGAATCTCTTGATGGGCATCTTGGCAACTGACTTGGGCTGATGACGGTCGTGGTCTTCCCAGGGTCACCTGACCCCCTTTGGCGACCTCCCAGCAAGCAAAGTCCATGGGGAAACCAGATTCACTTAACAATCAGGTTACTAGCAGGACAACGGCAACGATTCACTTCACAATTGTGATGAAAAAGGTCATAAAGTGGGGCAAAACTCACTGAACGACTGTCTCAACAATGATAATTTGGGCTCAGTTGTGGTAGATCAAGGACTATCCGTGTTAAAAATTCAAGTATATATTAAGAAATGTATCTCTAACTTGGAAGTCTGTATAGCAGACTCAAAGATCAGCACGGGGTTTTTTTACGACGTTATTAAATGGATACGCCACCCGCCTCACTGCCTGATTGCTTGTTTCATTGATCTCTTTTTGAAAGCACCCCCCGAGAGGAGGGGGATGCTGCGAAGGGAACAGGGAAGGGGTGTTGCCCACCTGTGGCCCCAACCGTGGCCGAGCTGACGGGAGCGTCCAGGTGCCCTCCCTCCCCCGGGGCTCTGTGCCAAGCCCCCCCTTTCCCCTCCCCCCCCCAACCCCGGGCCAGACGGAGCCTCCGCAGTTCTTTTCTGCCGCAGGGCCCCACGAGGAGTTTGTGCTGCGCTTTGCCAACCGCTCCTTCCTGGTGCTGCGTGGGCACTATGGCTACGTGGGCAGCTCCCCCTGCCGAGAGACCCTGCAGGGCAACCTCCTGGAGCCGGAGCCTGTGGAGATCCTGCCTTGCAAGCACGGCGTCTACCACCTCCAAAGTAAGCAGCAGACCCTGGGGGTGGGGGGCCAGGCCAGGAGGGGCTCCCCAGGCGACCCCATCTGCACAGACACCGCCCATTTGGGACCACTGTCAGCACAAACGCCCCCGAAATACAGTCGCCCTTCCCTCCCCCACCTGGAGGGCTGCGGATGGGAGAGGCGGGGACTAGCCCTTCCCCTCCCTCCCTCCCCTCCCTCCCTCCCTCCCACAGGCCGTGGAAAGAGCTTTTGGTCCCTGACCCCAGAAAGGACCTTCAGCCCCTGGGGGAAGTTTGCCTTGAACTTCTACCTGGAGATCCAGGGGAAGAACCTGCTGGCCATTGTAGCCCCCAATGGCTACTATGTGCGTGGAGACCGGGAGGGCTGCCTGGTGGCTGACAGCGAAGAGATCGCCCGAGACTGCCTTTGGGAGTTCTAGCCTCGGAACGGTAAGGGCGGCCGGGGACGGTCCTGGGAGGATGGGGGCTCTCAGACCCTGCCCTCTTCCCGCCCCCCCCCGCCCCGTGGGTCCCACTTGGGTCTGACAAGTGGGGTTGGCTAATGCTCCCTCCTTGTCTGCAGGCCTTGTCGGAAAGAGGGGCCCTGGCTGAGTGGCTGTCTGTCTGGACACGCCCTGCAGGGCCCTCCACCCTCGCTTGTCCCGATGCTTCAGGGGAGGCTGCCCGGTGGCTGAGGAAGAGCTTGTTGCTGTCCGCGTGAGCCAAAGGGGAGGGGGCCCTCCCCTCGCCTGCGAAATCCCGTGGGGAGGGCCCCTTGGGAGCTCTTTGCACCAATGAAGTGGCTTCACCCCGTTTGGGCCCCCGTTGCATTTTCTCCTCGGCCTCCTGGCTTTGGGAAGTGGGGCAGAGGTCTCTGCTCTGGGTTCAAATGGCCGGAGGGAGGTGGGGGAGCCATGAATGAATCCAGGCCAGGCTTCTTGCTCTGCCTGGGACCCAGGGCCACTCCGAGAGGCCCTGAGGATGGGCCTCCCTGCCCGTCTCCCCAGGCCGCCCACCGCCAGGCTGCCTCTCGGCCCCAGCAAGAGCTTTTGGGCGCTGCCTGTCCAGAGGAGGAAAGGAAGAATCCATTTGGGCCCTGGAAAGACCCGTGTGTGTGTGTGTGCGCACGCATGCGCGGTGTCCCTTGTCTTCTGCCCAGAGGCCTAGGGTTTGCCTCCCCCAGGGCTCGGGGCAGAAGGGCACCCAGGAAGCCGCTGGGCCTCCCTCCTGGCCTCGGAAGGCGGGTCGAGGGCTACAAACGTTATTGGAAAGGACGGGGCAAACGTTCTCCCCCCTTTTTCCACGCGGAGGGGATTAAGGGCAGTTGTCCACCTTAGTTATTCCCCTCCCCAGCCCTTCGCTCGTGTTTTTCTCTTTGGCGGGATCTGATCTTCTCCAGCCTCCGTTTCCATCCTGCTGCTGCTGTCATTTCCCCGCTTTTCTCTCCTCCTCCTCCGGCGCCTCCAACCTCTTTCCCCGCCTCTTCCATGCAGCAGCCGCTTCTTGCTCTGCCCCATCCACCCACTGGGACTCCTTTGGATGGGCCTCCTGGTGAACTTCTCTTCCACTAGTCCTGCTTTCTTCCCTTCTTTTCCTCATTTCCCCCGACCCCTTGGTCCTCCTTCGCAAACAATCCCATCAGCCGGGCTTTTAGTTGGGCCTAAACTGACTTCGTGCTTGAATTGGTCGGGCACCTTTCTTAAAGTCTCCATTCTTGCTAATTCTGGCGCCTTCCGGTGACGAAACGGCTTTTTCTGTACTACATAAGCTGTTCTGTTAATCACAGTTCAGTGACAGGAAGCAGAAAACACCTTTTTTTAAATTTGTCAATTGCTTACAAGATAATAGGTATAAGTAAGAACATACAGTAGTGATGAATACATGGATACATATAAGAAAAATAAAAAAATATGGAAAAGAAACAATAGGCAGGTTGGTGCGCTTATGCGCACAGCAACCCAGATAACCTTTTATTCACAAGTAGTTTTCCCCTACAGCTTGACTTTCCTGCAAGTTCAAAATTGTGGCCGCCTTTTGTCACTGGGGTGGATTTGGTTTCCCTGCTGCCCCCAGACCGGGAAGGGAATTCTTCGGTTCTCCCATCGGGAGGCAGAAACAGGCAAACCGCCACCTTGGCTGATTCCTTCTGGAGCCAAGAAAGAACCCCGAGCTTCAAGGCCGCAGCTCAGGCGGTCTCCCTTTCGATTCGATGCGCGCCCGCTGCGAGGGGCCGGGACGCGCTCCTGGCCGCCTTTGCAAGGGACCGAGCCCAGCGGCTGACGTCCCCGTCCCCCCCTCCCCGCGCCCTTCAGGCGGCCCAGCCGGGAGAAGCGGGGGTCCCGCGGGCGGGGCGCTTTCCTGGGAGCCGGGAGCGGCTGCGCGCTGCCTAGGAAGGCGGGACTTGGCAGGCAGTCCAGGAGGCCCGGAGGCTCCCCGCGGAGTTGGGCCGAAGCTGGTTCCGGGAGGGGCGGCGGTGGCGGCGGCTGCCTTCGGAAGGGCCGCTGTGGAGCTCTGCCCTCGGGCGGCGAGGCTGCTTTGCGCCTCAGTCCCCGGGGCCGCAGCGGGTCTCCCTGCTCGGGCGGCGGCGGCGGCTGGTTCCTTGCAGCGGACGGAGAGCCGGAGCTCAGGCGGGTGCTGGGAGGCTGCGGCTGTGGCGCTGGCCTTCCCCCTGCTGGAGCGCACCGCCGCTGATCGGCCGCTTCATCCCGGCTGGCAGACGGTGGAAGCCGGGCACCCCCGCCCGCTGTGGGCGTAGAAATGCTCTCCCGCTTCTGAAGCGCCCCTCGCTTCCCCGAAGCTTCCTCAGGCATCTCTCCGCTGCGCCGCCTCAACTCCCAACCTGGGAGAAGGCCGGCCTTTCTGTTGCTCGGCACGCAACAGAGACCCGGCTCCTCCCTCCCTGGGCCGAACCCCTCACACCGGCTTTCTTTTTTTTTTTGGGGGGGGGGAGCCAGGGAAAGGTGGCCAGTCCGGTGGCGTCAGAGGCTTTTGCCCATCTCCATAGGTTGGAGGGTGCCAGGGCAGCCCCGTTAGGGTCAGCAATCTCCAGCAGGGGAAGCAGGGGCAGGCGTGGCCGGTGCCCACCTACCTGGCCACGGAGGGAGGCTGCAGACTTGGTGCCCTGATGGGCAGCCGCCATTCACACGCAGCCCCTGGGAAGAGACAAGAGGTGAGCTGTCCCACTGAGGGCTGTGATGGGGCAAAGAGAAAAGCGGCAGCCGCCTCCCACCCACTGCCCTCCAAGGCTGCACGTTGACTCAGATAGTGGCAGCAGCCTGGGGTGGGCATTAAGGCTCCCAATAGCTGAGTGGGCAACTGGCATGTCCTCGGTCCAGGTGCCAGCTTCGCTTGCCAACGGGTAGGGAACCTGCATCAGCCTCTTTCTCGGATTGATGGGACTTGTCTCTCTTACCACGCTAGGTAAGTACCTGGGGTTGCCGGCCCAGAGCCAGCGTGCTGTGCCCGCAGGGCTTCCCGTCGCCCTCTCGCTCTCCGATTAGAGAACCAAACCTAATCGAAGTAAAGACGAAGAGGAACAGGTGAGGGCTCCTTCCGGCTTGGAAAAGCCTTGTCCAGTTCAGCAGTGCAGGGGGGGCCTCCCTCTGCTCACCTTCAGGGTGGCTTCAGGCAGTCCAGACTGCCCGGCCAGTTCTTCCCGGGCGGCTGCTTCCGGGTATTGGCTTCTCTGGAAAGCTGAAAGAGGGAATGAGCAGGTCAAAGCAGGCAGGGGCCCTCCTGCCCAGCAGCAGCAAAGTCCGAGGCCAGAGATTTGCAGGGGCCACACCTCTCTTTGCCCCACAGAAATGTGATCGTGACTGGCCTCACTTGCAAGCTTCTTTCTCTCCCTTCTGTATCTTCCATGCCTTAAAGGCAGGGTCTCCAACCTTGGTCGCCTTAAGGCATGTGGACTTCAACTCCCAGACTTCGCCAGCCAGCTACAAAGTCCCCGAGTCTTAAAGCGGCCAAGCTTGGAGACCTCCTGCCTTAAATGATCTTTGGGTTGCTGCTTTTCCCCCTAAACAGGGTACCCTCCTCTGGCTCCCCGGCTCCTTATCCTTGTTCCTTCCTCTCTCTTACATGTCTGTGAGGCTCTTCCCGAGATGACAGGACCAAAATGGCCCTCGAAGTGATGCTTCCGGATGACGAAGTGCAATTCCCCCCCCTTCCCAAAATTCAACTAGGCTAGTTGAGAACCCCTGCCACACCCTCCTTCCTGTCTTCAGAAGCACCTGGGTGTGAGAGGGCCCAGTTCTTGGGGGGAAGGGGGTGTCAAAGGGCATCGGGACATTTAATCTAGCCTGGAGCCATGATTTTAATGACTCACAGTAATCTCCTTATTTCAATCCACTGTGTTTTGTTACCTGCTACAGCAACAGTAGAAATCAAGCAAAAGAAGGCAGTTTTATAAAGTGCTCCCCTCAAACCTTTGCCCCCTCCCCGGATCCCCCTCCTCCGATGCCCTCCTGACTCACCGCTCTCCAGGACCTGCAGCTGCTCCATAGAGAAGACAGTCCTGCTCCGAGTTCTGGGCAGCCCAGTCAACCCCGCTGACTGCAAGGAAGACGGGGAGGTGGGAGCCTCTGCCGGATCCTTCCTCTCCCCTCCTCCTGCCAGGAAGGGACCTATGCGGGGGAGGGAGGGAAAGGCAGGGACACAGTGCATGTCATTACAGCCAAGGAAACGCACCCTCCGCCTTATCACAGGCAATAACACTTCAAGTGCACGGCCAGGGCCCTGGTTGCACCTACGGTTCCATGGGATGAGGACACAGCCAGAACGGGGGGGGGGGGGGGGGGGGGAGGGGGGGGGTGGGGGGGGCTGTGAAGGATGGGTGATTAGCGGATCTCCTCAAGAATTGGCAAAGTCGCCTCTGCAGCATCTTGTCACATCAGAGACACAATTGGAAGAAGGTTGGGAGAAGAACGGGGTACAAATGGGGAAAAACCTGGAGTCTCCAAGACAGGCCATTGTTTCCTGAAACAGGTTACTAGAAAAACTGGGTTTCATCTATTTTGCTCGGCTCAACGCCGTCTTATGATATATTTCTCAGTATTCATAAAGTTACAATACTTCCCTGGAATCTTGTACTGTCTGGCAATAACTTGAATTCCATTCCAATTTCTTTAAAAAGTGTTTTTCCCTCTATCTATAGCAGGTCAGTACTACCTTGTGGCTGGTCTGGGGCAAATTTTCATCTTTTTTTTTAGTGGTGATGTTGTTTCATTGTTGATTCTCAGAAGTTTTGCCTTTTAGCGTCTAATGTAACATGGAAAATTTGCCTCTGAATGTGTAACATTAAAAAAAAAGTTCTTTTCCTAACAGTTTGCGTTTGCTCATCCCTGGTGAGATTAGTCCAAGAAGGGAAGAGAGCGTCGCCTCACCCGTGTAAGCCACGCGGGCAGGAATTTGCAATGTAAACCTGCCTTCCCCTTGCCAGGACTCTTTCTCTGGCCCTGTAGCAGAGAAAGTGGTGGCTGCGGGACCCCCAGGCTGCTCACCCAAACCAGGAGGGAGGGGGGGGATGGGCGTCCAGACTGGGGCCGCCTGGAAGGGAGATTGGCACCTTCAGGACTCAGCCATTCCAGCCCTTCTGTGATGGCCCAGAGCACGGCACACAAATAACACAAACAACTGGTAGTTCAAACCGCCCCTCTATTGCTCCAACTGTGGCCCCAAACGTTCCCCCATCACTACAAGTCCTGGAGCAAAGCTCTCATACGCACCTTCGGAAGCCTCTGCCTGCAAGTAGCCCCAGTAAACCAGATTAACCGAACAGCAAACCAGGGCCAGCAGTCCAATAAGCCAGATTAGCCCAAACTTTAACCAGAGCAGGAAGTTCAGCGAAGCAGGCAAACTGGCAAGCCCCACAAGACAGCGGCCAGCCACCTCCAGGCAAATGCACAGGAGGCTCTACGGATAGCCAGCCCAACCTTTGCTGATCTCTCCTGGCTCTCAGGTGGGGGTTGGGGGGTGGGGGTGGGAGCGCTCCCTGTCTGCAGGCCTTACTAAGTCAGGAAAGCCTCGCCTGGACCGACTCTTCTGACCTTCCCCCGTTTCCTCCAAGGCCAACGGGGCTGCCCTCTCCATCCAGGTCAGTTCCAGCTCATCGTCCCCCGCAGATTCAGACTGCCTAAACGAAGGAGGCCTTTTGTGCCCAGCCTGTAACTTGGAAGTGGGAATCGGACCCCAACACAACCGAGAGTCAGGGAATCATAATCACACAGCGGAAACATGCCTGAATTGTTCGCAGAACTGAAAGACCCATCCTTACGACTCCCCAAGCAAGAACACTCATGCGGGGGGGGGGGGACAGAAATGAACACGCACCGTCCCCTCACCCTCCCTCAAATGGAAGCAGAGGCTGCCGGAGTGGCTCCCAACCACACCCAAATGCCCCCCCCCACCCCCGGGCCAGGTCAGATCCCAGCTTAATGGTAGAGGCTACTGGTGGTGGCCGGGTGGGGAGGGGGCTGGAGCAAGTCACACACCCCCCTTCAGATTTATAAACCAGCCAGGACAGAACTGTGGGAATGCTATGAATGGGACGCGCGTTTCCTTGCCACTCCAAAGAAGAGGCTCGAGAGACCTGAAAGCCAGACCTGGCCCTTTGACCGAGCAAGGAGGGCTGGCGGGGCAGTTCCTGTGCCAGGCTGGAGGCCTCCCAGCGCTCCTGTCCCTCAAGCTCCTCTAGGTTGGGTTGTGGAGCAGATCCCACAGGGAGACAGCGCCCCCCACTGGCCAAGGCCAGGTACCCGGGGACTGCTCCAGACAGCAGGGCGCTCCAGCCCTCCCACTGCCACCCGCCCCCCCCCCCCATCTTCTGCCCCTCAATTGATACTTTGATACTCCCGATAGTCTCCCTTGGGTGGTGATGGAGGAGGAGGAGGAGGAGGAGGAGGAGGAGGAGGAGGCACAGCTTCCTTTGCACAGGGAGGATAAAGAAGACTCCTCCCCAAAACATCCCCCCATTACCTGGCTGTGGGAGCTTCCTCAGGAAGGGGGACCCACCTGGGGCTTCCAGGCGTCTCAGGATGCGGTTGATGGAAGAGATCTGGAGGAGCAGAAGGAAGCGGGAGGGTAACAAGCCCAGATTCTGTGAAGGGGGGAATTTACTCCGGAGCCCCTCAAAGTTTGGCAGGGGCTGCCCCCAGAGTGAGGGGGCTGCACTCCGGGGAGCAGCAGCTCTAGCCGAAGGCCTGGGCACAGAGCCCAAGGGGCGGAAAGGCAGCCCCCCCCCGAGGCTGTTCCCTCTGATGGCTGGTGGGGGGGGAGCGAAAGGAGGATCCTCGGGGCTGGAAATGCTGGGGTGGGGGTTGTAGCGTCACTCTCATCCCGCCTAGTGTCCCAAGGCCAGTTTCCTTCCCAGAATCTTGGCCTCTCCAGAAAAAAGCAATAAGGGTGGGAGAATATTTGTGCGTGCGTGTGTGTTGTGTGTGTGGGGTGTTTGGGTATGTGTGTGTGTGCATGTGTGTCTACCAGTACATTGGTGGATTTTAAAGGCAATGAATATCTGAAAATGAATGGGGATGGGGGAACGATTAGGAAAGAGGGAGGGTGAGGGAGGGAAAAGAAAAGAAAGGGAGGGAGGGAAGGAAGGAAAGGGCTGTAAATGGTCGCAACTATCTTGAGGCTTTTCGTTGAAGTCTTTGTAACTCTCTGGGTGACAAAGCGTGTTGGGTCTCCAGTGAGAGAATTCTGCCCTAAAGGATTTTCACTGCTCACCCCTTGGCGGCCACCATTCTCTGAATCCTCTGTGGCTCAGGAAGCCTCACGGGGATCAGACACCTGGCAAAGACCCTTCTTGAGGAAATGTGGCAGCCTGGCAGACACTGGCAGAGCCGCTGAGCCTCACCCTGTGGGCACCTTCCCTTCCTGGCCAAGCCTACCAGGCCCTTGACATTCCCAGTCCAGAATCGCTCTCTCACCCCACCCCCCCTTTCCTTAAAAGCAACCAGCTTGTTCCAGGCCCCATGAAAGTCCTGGAAAGGAGGTGGAGAGCAAGACAAGCGAAAGTGGCACCCAGCCAGTGCTGGCAAAAGGAGCTGCCACTCAGGTGCAGCCTTGGCTTCAGCAGGAGGAGGAAGGGAGGAAGGTCCCGAGGGTCAGTGGGAGAAGGTGAAGCCCGATTTGGGGGCCCTCCCTCTTTGCTCAACATAGAAGCATGACTGCATGTGCCTGCTCTTGCTTGTGGGTGAGCATGCTCACGCGTGTGTACACCCACACAGACACACAGAGGTCCAGTGTCCGCGATGCGCCCTCCCCCACTCACACTGGGTATCCCGCTTGCAGCGCAGGTGCCTGCTGCCTCCAGCTTTTCCCTGATCTCCCAGGCAAAGAGGGACGGCCGCTCCTGCTTCAGTTGGGCAATCACAGCTACCAGCTGAGGGGTGGCGATCTGGGGCCGGCTGCCTTCCCTGGTCTTTGGCTGGACAAGGCCCACCTTGTAGTAGCGGGTGAGAATCTTGCTGACGCACCCACTGGAGACCTGGATCACGTAAAGAGAAGGGGGCAGCCTGGCTGTGCCTTTGCCCGGAAGCATGTTGGGGAGGTCAGAGGGGGGGGAGTGGGGGGGGCGGGGGGAAGCCAGGCAGAAGAGAAGAGGGTCCCCTCCCCCCAGGGCTGCCCATCTGGCCCTATTCTTCTCCGCAGCCCCTTCTCTGCCTCCCACTGTGAGGACCCCAGACCTCCTCACCCACCCTCACAGGCCGCTACCTTCAGCTGGTGTGAGATGTCAGCAGCCCGCAGCCCACACAGGGCCAGTTCCACAATTTTCTTCCTCTTGGCATCAGGCAGAGGGCAGCCGGCCACAAAGAATCCCCCCAGCTGGTTCACTCGCCTGAGCTCTGCAAGGAACAGGAGAGCCAGATCAGGCCGCCAGCCCGCTCGGGCCAGAGATCACCCAGAGCCAAACGCAGGCCGCTCCCACGCTCCCCTGTGCCCACTGAAGAACTGTAGTTCAGGCTGGCTTCCTTGTCTTTCCCCTGGAGAATGAAGCCACACTGCTCTGGGGTCAGCACTGGACCCCTGCCCAGCTGCCAGGGCAAGCTGCAACTGAATCTGAAGCCACATCTGTGGTGGCCAGTCGCTTCTCTGCCCTAAGAGGCCTTGGGCAGCTGTTGCCGCCACCGATAGTTGATACTTAGGGAGCCTCGTTTGCTCGATCTTCCCTGCAGGAAGTAAACTCACTGCTGGGTGGAGAAATGATAGGAGAAGCCCACTGTCCCAGGCGTCACCCCAAAGCCCCCCGCGGGCTGCCTCTTGGCTGCAATGAGCAAGAGCCCCACTGCTCACACCAGAGGCCAAGGCAGACTCTGGCTCTTCTGCAGAGCAAAAGGCTTAAACTGGTCAGAAAAGTGTTGCTTACCACAGGGTGGGACGGCATCGGGGCGCCACTGAGCCATGAAGGTGCTGGGCCTTCAAGAGGAAGGGTAGAGCAATCAGCACTCCAGCTGAGCAACCAACAGCCCCCACCCCCACCCCCCATGTCCCCATGGGCAAAGTGCTAAATGCTGCCGGGAGTCTGAGGAGGAGGAGGAGGAGGAGGCCAAGAACCGGACGTCCCTCTTGTCTTCTCCTGATGTGGCATCTGAATACCAGTCAGGCACCACCGTCGCCCATTGTCTCCCCAGCTGTGCACTTTTATCTCTGCCCCTTGTACGCACCGACCTGAACTGCTGCTTTCTGCCCCGCTTCTTCCCAGGGAGCCAAGGGAGACATTCTCACCTTCTCAGAGGAGCTCCTGCTCTGCAGCCGATGAAGCCTTTCAGGCCAAGAGCAGCAGTTGGGATGGGAGCCTCTGAAGTCCCCGGAGAAACCAGGCTGCGTGGGGGAAACGGGGACAGGGAGAGGCACCGTCCTGGGCAAAGTTTGGCCTCCCTGCCTCACAGGATGCGGGCCTGGGAATTCGGTAGGTGAGCCCTCCCTGAGTCTGGACGAAGGCAAGAGGAGCGCCCCCCCCCCCGCTGCCTCCTCAAGCCCCCAGGCGCCCCCTCGCTCCCTCCCTCCCGCTCTGCGCCCAACCTCCAGGCTGCTCTCCTGCTGCCACCCAGAGGCGCTCTGCTGGGCGAGCGGCGGTTGGCATTTCAGCACCAGGGCGGTGCGGACAGCAACCCCAGCGCCTCCGCCTTCCTGGCCTGCCGGCATCTTTATCCGCGGCCCTTTGAGCGCGCTCCCACAGCGACTTCCCTTCCCCCGGGGGCCGAGGGCCTCAGCGGGACAGGAGCACTGGCTTCTGGAGACGGAACTTCCTCCAGCCTCCCCTTACCTGCCAAAGACCCAGAGAGCCAGCCAGATGACAGCCCTTTGGCCCTTTCCCACCTCCCGCCGCTCGCTCGCGGTTGTCCCTTGGGGCGGCCCAGCGGGAGGGCTCCCCCCTACACTCACCCGCATCTGCCCCGCACCGTCCCGGAGACATCAATGCGGCGGTGGCCCAGGAGAGCCAAGACGTGGTTCCTTTATTGTCGCGCTCTACCCGCGGTTGCTTTGTGCAAACATAGGTAACTTTGATTTGGCGCGGGGGCGTCCTGCCCCCATTGGATTGCCCAGATGGCTTCGGGCTTGGCCGACGGATCAACTCGCTGCCCAGCTGGCCGAGAAAATATTTGATGAGCAAATAGTGGGGCCAGGAGTCTCTCCTGCGGCTCAGGTGCCCAGCAATTGACCCTCATTACTGCCCCCCCAACCGCCCCTCCCGCCAGGGTTCTCCACCGAACAGGCTGCCTCCCAGGCGACCATCTGGCCCCAATTACATATTAACCATGGAGCCCTCCCGCCTCGCCATCCCCGATGGCCGCTGAGAGTCGCAGCACCTCCCAGTCTCTGTCTCGCCTTAAACCCGCACGAGTGCGAAGGGGAGGTTGTAGGCCGAATGGCTCTGGAGCTTTGGAGCCTCCCACCCTTCCTTTGCCAATGAGGGGGGCGCAGCAGAGGAGCTACACAACGTGGGAGCCCAGTGCGCACAAGGATGCTCAGTGTAGTTGGCAACCGTCGGGAGCGGCTTCCTCCTCGCCTGTCAGAGGACCAAGTTGCTGCAGCCTTTAGCCCCCCCCCCCCCCCCGTGTCCTCCCTCAGAGGAGCTGAGTCTGCGCCAGATCCAAACCGGAGATGAGGATGGCAGCATCCCCTCTCCCGGGGTGGGATCTGAAATCCCGGTTGGGCGTTCAGGCTCCTCCAGGGCGCACAACAGGAGGCGCCTGCCTGCTTCTCTCTCGCTCTCGCTGAGCAAAGCTGATCCAGTGGAACCCATGCCTAGAAGACCCCCCCACCCCACCCCACCCCCGCCTCAGGCAGCCCTTCCTAGTTGGGCTGTAGCGTCAGACTTGAGGGCAGCTCAGCTTTCCTTTTGCCAGCCTCTTTAGCCGGGAGCAGGAGAAAGATGTGCGCTCTCCGAGCAAACTCTGAGAGGTGGCTCCCACGGAGGATTCCTGCCAGGGAAAAGCGGGCGGAATCTGGCAGGTAGAGAGGAGCCAAGCACAGGACTCCGGAAATCAACAGAGAAGTGAGGGGGAGTCTGGGAGTGGAAAGGCAGGAAGGGAGGAAGGCAGGAAGAAAGAAAGAAAGAAAGAAAGAAAGAAAGAAAGAAAGAAAGAAAGAAAGAAAGAAAGAAAGAAAGAAGGAAAGGAAGAAGGAAAGGAAGAAAGAAGAGGGCTGGGTGCAGCAAGAGGGAGAAGCGGGTGAGAGTCCAGGCTCTTGGGAAGGGAGCGAGCAGGGCACCCAAGGGCTACGCTCTGCTTGAGGAAGGAAGAGACCCCCCCCCTTCTGCTTGGCACTTTGTGTTTACAGCTACAGTTCTGCCCTTGGGGTCTTCCAGAGGAAACGGAGCCGGTGCTGTTGGGGAGCGGAGGGACTCCCGAGGGGAGATGGGGGGGGGGGCAGGCGGATTCTTTCACACGCGGTGGCCAACGAGCTGGAGGCGGGGGGGGGGGGGGGTTACCCTCCAAGTGATCCACTCTCTGTGGAGATTTCCCATTGGCTGGGTAGCATGAACGGCACGAGTCCGCTGCTCTTGGGCTTCCAGGGGACACTGAATCAGAAGGAAACCCCGCTTCCATCCAACTGCAGCCCCCTTCGCCTCATCCAACGGTGCACTTGAAATCTCCGCAAAGCTCACTTAACTTGCAGTATGCAGGAAAGTCACACCGCCCTGGGGAGGGATTGTATAACCTGCTTAAAAGCCTCCAGGGCCAGAGGACCCACCGCCTCCTCGGAGAGAAGATACGTCGTTGGACAGATCTTACTAGCAGGAAGACTTTTCCCGTGTCTGCAGATCTGGCCCAGGGGCTGCTGCTCTTCCCTGCAGCAGTCAGACGAGTCTCCCCCTCCAGCTTCAGCGGCCGATACCCTCCCCTACTCATCCTCCTAGGAGCCACAACCTTGGAGGCGGGGGTTCTAAGCCGGCCCCCTTTCAATCCGCTCCAGCTTGTCCTCCAGCAAGGGGGTATTGATGTGTGGAAGGGCAGTTCGAGCCCCCGGCTTCCCCGGCTTCCCTCCCCGGGACCCGCTGAACTGGACAAGAAGCCAGAGCCTGTCCGGTCTGCGGCTCACGTTTCCCGGCCTCGCGCGCGGTTCTGGGGACCACCAGGGTTTGGATTTGGCATCGCCGGACTCCTGCTCCCCCGGCGGGACCTTGCCTGGGCGCCGGCCTTGATCCCGCATCCCAGCAACCACGGAGGCGGTTGGGCTCCAAGGAAGTAGGCGAGTCGGGACAAAGCCTCCTGCGCGCTGCACTGCAGCCCTTCGGCTCCTCCCCATGCCCTCGGCCAGCGCCCTTCTCTCAGTCCCCGAAGGCAGCAGGCTCGTTTGGAGGAGGCGCTCGGGATTGTTCCCGAGGGGCGCTTCGGCACGAAGGAAGAGAGCCGAGGGAGCGCGCGGGGGCCCCCAAGTCGCTTCCGAGGCCGCAGCAGGGAGCGCGGGCGGCGACGGACAGGACTTCCCTCTCGTTGCCCTTCCCGTGCCCGGCCAGAGCAGGCGGCCTCCTGCTCCCTGGCCAGCAGCCTTTCCCCCCCCCCCGCCGCCCCCCCCCCCCCCCCCCCCCCCCCCGCCGGAGCATTCAGGAGACTGCGGTAGATTACGGACCGGCCTTTGGGACTGGGGAGCTTTCAGGAAAGGGGCTTCCCGAAAGCCTTGTGGGGCTGATGCCAGAAAGTCCAGCGGAGAGGAAGACTTAAAATCAAACCGGGATTCAAACAGAGCAAGCAGCAACTCCTCCCCCCACCCCCACAATATGTGACAAAGTCCTTAGGAAAGGCTGCCTTGGTGACCCAACCCGTCTTCGCGCTCTTACACAGCACTGAAGCACAAACCCTTCCTTCTGGCTGCCTCTTCCGGATTTTGCCACGGGGACAACCTCGCCACACTCCCGCTCCCACAGCAGGACCTCCCCCTCCTCTGAGCCTTCTGGCGACCCAACTGGGGCAGGTGTTACCTGAGGGCAGCATCGGCACAGACACTCTGCTCTGTTGCCCCGAATAGGAAAGCCAGTCCCCCCCCAACCCCCCATGATCGAATGGGGCCAACCTTGCCCCAAGAAAGCCAGGGAGCCAATATCAGGCTCCAGTGAAAAGCCCAGGCTAAGCCCACTCCATGCGCCTCGAAGGAGTTTCTGCAGGCTGGAGGCATTTGAAGGGAGGGGCAGGACTCCTGTGGTGTCCTCGATGCTGCTGGTGGCACTGATGCTATTACCCAGACTGGTAAGGAAATGCCTTGAAGTCCAGAGAGCACCCAGAACTCCACAGGTCAACTTGGGCTGGAGTCACTTGGGCTCCTGGGAAGGAGACCATCAGGAGACCCTCCTACACTGCGGTCCTAGACTGCGTTGGGGTGGGGTGGCTGTTGGTCCCCGTTTGCATGGGTGGCTCAAGAGCTGGGGAAGGAGAGCCTTTGAGGCCAGCGCATTTCTATGCAGGAGAAGTCTCTTTAACGAAGGGGTTCGTTGATTCGTTCAATTTATTTGTGCCTATCTCTCTATATGGCTTACAACAATTAAGAGACAAAAACACAAGTAAAACAATAAACAACGGGAAGGAAAACACACAGGATATACCGATAGCCGGACCAAAAGGTGGGTGGGGGGAACAGAGAGCAGGAGGGGGAGGGGGAGCCTCCTGCCAATTCAGCAGCCCCCTCGGGGTGCCCCCCCCAACCGGCCCCAGGCAGAGCAAAGGGCGGGGGGCCCCAAGGGAGGCTCTTCTTCTGGGTCCCCGGGGGGGGGGTCGGGCCTCTTTCACCGGCGGCCCCGGCGGTTCATCGGGTAGCCTGCAGCTGAGCCGATCGGGGCTCTCGGGGTCCAAGGCGGAAACAGGCGGCGAGGTCGAGGCCCTCCTTGCCGCTCCCCTCCCCGCCTCTTCTGGCCCGGGGGCTGCCAGGGAGCGAGCGGAGCCTCTTCAGGGGAGAAACTCGCCTTTTAAGCTTACAAGAGTGTGGGGAACCCCCCCCCCCCTTTGCAGCTGCGAAGGCAGCGCCGCCGCCGCCGCCGCCGCTCCCGGGGCGCAGCCGGGATGGGAGCCTGCTCGCGGGAACACGGGCGCCCAGGAGACGCAGCCGGCCAACGGGGGGCCCTTCGGGGCGGGGGGGACGCCGCCCCCGCCCCGACGCGGAGCCTGGGGGGGGGCCGTGCGGGAAGCGGGTGCGGGGGCTCCCCTCAGGGAAGGTCAAGCGCTCGAGGGAGGGGCGCCCGTTCGCCCGCCCCCCCCCGCCAACGAGGCCGGGGGTGGGAGGGTTAGGGTGGCGCTTCCGCGGCGGCGGGCAGAGGGGAAGCGAGCGAACCCGCCGCTCTTCCGCCAGGAGGAGCCGCCGGCCACGTGCACCGCCAGGACTCCCCCGCCCCTCCGGCCGGGCTTGGCGCACGCGCGCTTCCCACGTGGCCCGCCGCGCGTGCCGCTCTCTGCCTACGTGTCCTTCTGGCGGAGTGACCCGGAAGTCCTGCCTCCACCGCCGCGACGCTTCGGTTTGAACACGCTCCGTTCCCTCGCTGGCCGCCTTCCGGGGTGCCGATTGGTTGGCCCGGCGCCCGTGGGGTGGGGCGCCGGACCGCGCCGGCCGATTGGCTTTTCCGCGAGAGGGGGCGGGCCCGCCGGGTGTGCTGCGCGTGCGCCGGGGGGCGGGCCCGGCTAAATACCCAGCCACCGCTCCGCCCCTTTCCTCCCTCCGCTCCCCGGACGCCGCCGCCGCTTCCTCGGTGCCGCTTCCTCTCGCGGAGACCTTCACCGCGACCCCCGGCGCCATGGCTTCCTCCGCCGGATCCGCCTCCTCCTCGGCAGCCGGCTCCGCCCAGGCGCCCGTCCTCCAGCGCGGCATCGTCAAGATGGTAAAGGGCTCCTGAGCGCGTGCAGAGCGCCAGCGGGGGAAACGGGGGAAGCCTGCACAGGTCTTGCCGGGCAGCCGACTCCGGCCCGACGCCTTCAGCCGGGGGAGACCGGGAGGGCGGCGGGGGCGGCGTTTCCCGGGTCCCGGGCGGGCGCTTCTCCTCTTCCTCCCGGTGGGCTGCGCCGGGCAGGCGGGGCTGGTCGGTGTGGTCCCGGCGTGGCCGCTCCGGCTTCCCCCTTAAAGGCTGCGCGGGAGGCAGAGCGGGGTGGGGGGCACGGAGAACTCCCCCTGCCCGCCTCCCCCCCCCCCCCCCGCCCACCGCTGTGGCAATGCTTCCCCGCGGAGCGTCTCTGCCTCGCGCTGGGTCTCCTGCCGCAGCCGGGTCTCCGGGGCAGCCTTCAGCCAGGGGGGCCGGTCGCCCGGCTGACCACAGAAGCCGCCTTCAGCCTGGCTCTTGGGGCGGGGCGGGGGCATGGCAGAGCGGCAGGGGGCACAGCTGCCAGGGCTGCTGTTGCAAGATATGGGGAGGGGGGGAGGGCTGGGCGGGCTCCAAATGGCTCTGCCTGAAGGTGGGCGGCTCCCTTCTGCTCCTGTCCAGGAGGGCTGGGTGGGAGGTGGGAGAGAGTCCCCTGGGGGCGTCCTGGTCATAATGGGGGGGGGGGCGGTGGGTCTTGGCTGCCCCTCCTAATGCCTGCCTGCCTCCTTTCCTGCCAGGTCCTGTCGGGCTGCGCCATCATCGTCCGGGGCCAGCCCCGGGGAGGCCCACCGCCTGAAAGACAGATCAATCTCAGCAACATCCGCGCTGGGACTCTGGCACGCCGAGCAGCTGCAGGGCAGCCCGATAGCAAGGACACTCCTGATGAGGTAGGGTCCCCTCCCCTGGGTTTCCGATGCCAGCGCCTCAGCTCCTCTGTCTCCCCCACCCCCCAGCTAGTCCTTGGTAGCTTCCAGTCTGGGTCACCATCGGTCAGGGCCAACTAATCGGTCCTGGGAGCCAAAGGACGCTTCTCCCCACTTGGAACTGCGGGGCTCAAAAAGCGTTGTCAACTCCTGACCCGGCTGAGTATCCTGTGGCTGCTGCTGCTGCTCCCGAGGCCCCTGCCCTTAAAGTGCCCGGAAGAACCCTGTGGGTGCTGGCGATGTGCCCCGCCCCCCGGGCTCCAAGCGGGGGCTCCCCCCCCCCCCCCCCCCCGGGGGGGGGGCCCCCCCCCCCCCCCCCCCCCCCCCCCCCAGCCAGGCCCGAGGAGGCCATTGCCGTAGGCAGTGAGGCCGGAGGAGGGGCCCCAGGACCGGCAGGGGGAGATTGCCCACTGGGGGTGTGCATGTGCGTGCGTGTTTCTGCTTCTTTTCCTGGGCCACTCTGGCTAACCTCTTGCTTTGCCAGCCTTGGGCATTTCCGGCTCGTGAGTTTCTGCGGAAGAAGTTGATTGGTAAAGATGTTTGCTTCTCCGTGGACTACAAGACCTCTCCCCGGCGGGAGTACGGCATGGTGTACCTGGGCAAAGGTGAGAGGCTTCCTCTACTTGGGCTGGTCCTCCCGGGGCCTTCCGTGCTTGCCAAGGTTTGGGGTGGGCTGGCCTTCTTGCTGGGGCTCCTAGAGCAGCCGTTCTTGAGTCTGTGGTTAGCATGTTATGGGAGGGGGCTCTCCCGCATGACCCCTGGGGATCCATGGGACGAGGTTGGCCTCCCGCAGGGGCTCGAGGGCCATCCTGGTCTGATGCCTCCCTTTGGTCCTTGCCTTGGGCTGAGCCGGGCTCTGGAGGCTGTTGCGGCCTGCGCAGGGGAAAGCCGGCTAAGGCCAGGCTGCTCCTCTTGGGTGAACCCCTCGGCAACCGGTGGTCCGAGCCCCAGTGTCTGTCCTGGGCAGGAATGCGCTCTCCCCATGGAGTGGGCCTGCCACTTGCGCTCTCCTCTGTCCTGCTTAGAAAAAGTTGGCAGCTGCGGGGGGGGGGGGGGGGCTTAAAGGGTCCAGATAGGGGTACGTGGTTGGGCCCCCCGAGCCTGCCCTGTGGGAGGCGGCCCAGAGGCTCCAATGAGCCAGGAGGAGGCGCTGGCCATACTAAATGGGGAGCCGTTGCTGTGTGGATGCCCAGCTTGGAGGGTGGGCCGTTCCTTGTGGAGCCCATTGGGCACCGTCTTGCCTATTTGGTTTGGGCATCCTGGCAGACCTTATAACGATATCGGCAGCCTCCTCTAGGGTGGCCCTGAGGTCAAGAATAGGACCCTGGGCCCCTCCTTGTGTCCCGAGAGGCACAGATGCCTCTTTAAAGAGAAAATGGGCTTTGATTTCTGGTCTGGCTAACTTCTGCGCATCCCCCAGAGTCCTAGATCAGCCAACCAATGCAGTCTATCCTTCAAGCATCGGGCATTGAGCGTCTGGGGGGCAGCCACGCCAAGCCCCACAGCAGTCAGCCTGAGATGTGCTGGGCAGGCTGAAGGGGAGGGGGCCCCGCTTGCCAGGCTAACTAGGGGCTGAGAGGGCGGCCGGAAGGCCCTGTGGCTTTGGCCTCTCCAGTGGGCCCAGCAAAGGCAGCCCATCCCGCCCTGCAGCAAACGGGGCCTAAGGGGACTCGGGCACCCATTCCCCTTGGGCCTGGCGCCCACTGTTGTGAAACCTGGTGACGGGCGCTGGGCTAGATTTGGTGGCAATGGTGGGAACCTCCAGCGTGGCCTGCCTCCTGCTCCCCTCCGCCTCCTTAACGCTGCGCTCTCAATTGCAGACACAGCCGGGGAGAACATTGCCGAGTCCCTGGTGGCCGAGGGGCTGGCCTGTCGCCGGGAAGGGATCCGAGCCAATACGTAAGTCTGCTCAGAGCCTTGTGCCTGGTGGTGGCGGCTGGGGTGGTGGGGCAGGGCCTTGCTACTTTGCTGCCCAGTAAAGCCAGAATCCAGCCCCAAGAGAAGGGGCCTCCTGGCAGGCTGGCTACCGGGAGTGCCGGGTGAATCGGGGCTCTGGGCAGCTGGACTGTCAGCGCTGCCTACCCTCTGCTGGGAGCAGCCTTTGGGCTTCTGATCCACAAAAGGGTCGGAGGAACCCAAAGCCTGGAAGGTCACGAGGCGGGGGTGGGGTGGGGTCAGGCAGGACTGTCTATAGGTGATTTGCCCCCAAGTTCTGGGTGGATTGCAGCAGCTGCCGGTCCGGAATGGTCAGAGAAGAGGGGTGGGCTAGCTGGCTGGCCAGGTCTTTGTTAGGCCCTTGGCAGAAGTGTGGTTTGCATCCCATCACACACACACACACACACACAGGATTCTACCAGTTCACACCTATTTGCTACAACTGGTTGTTAACATTCTAAGCAGTTCGGAGAACCAGTTGTTAGAAGAAATTACAGAGCTAATCCTGTAAGGAAGGCAGGAAGGAAACATTCTGGTGTTGCTTACAGAAACTGCCTCTCCGTTAACCCTTATTACATTTTGGGCAGGACTAGACTTCCTGTCTCAGGAACTTCTCTGGAGTTTTTTTTCCCTTCCTTTTCTGGTACTTTGCTTGTGTGGAGTGACCATTCAAAGTTACAATGGCACTGAAAAAAGTGACTCATGACCATTTTTCACACTTACGACTGTTGCAGCATCCCCGCAGTCATGAGAGGCCAGGCGAGGAGATGTGTGCCTTGATGTGAGGGATATTGACTTGGCCACACCCAGTCAATAACATGACCACCAAGCCATGTCAGCCCAGTCGCATGACCACCAAGCCATGCCCACAGAACCGGTTGTTAACATTTTTGAATCCCACCCCTGCACACACACATTACGATGGGCGTCCATAGGTGGCCAGCAGTGACCTTGTTGGAGCAGCCCGGCTGCCAGCTTCCGGGTGGGCTTCCCCCTCTGCCCTGCCCCATCCCGTTGAGGAAGTCTTGGGGCGCCTTGGGGGACTAGCAGGCTGCAGAGTCTGTGGAGGGGGGCACGTTTGGGAGACAGCAGCCATCGCCGCTTCCAAGGAGGAGAGGCACCATCCAGGGTGGGTCTTCCCAGTGGCTGGAAGGGAGGTCTCCACCCCAAGGAGGCTGCTGGAGAGAGGGCTGAGCCTGTGAGCCTCCCGAGGGCAAATCCACGCAGGAGCTCCCAGGACCATCCAGACTGGCTCCAGGGTCCCCTCCCACCTCCGGTCTAGGCACAAAATCTGCGTGTCCGTTCAGTCACAATGTCCCCCATTGCTTCCAGGGTGCAAAACGTGCCTTTCCTTGTGTGGAGGACAGGGTGAAAGGCAAGGCCTAGTTCCACAGCACCTCCCTCCCCTCCGGACTCCAGACCCCAAAGGCCGAGGAACAGGGACAGCGGAATTGGGGCACTTCACTATCGCTGCTGCCTGGGTGGGCCAGCGCCCCCATTCCTGAGTCCAGGGAGCCTCGCTGGGAACTAGTCTGCGGGAAGGAGGAAGGGGGGGGCTGCATGGGCCAGACCTGGTGGGGTCTCCTGCCCTCGTAGGTGTTGTGCAAGGCACCCCCCCCCTCACGGAGGGCTTTCCTCCTCCTCCTAGTCCTGAGCAGATCAGACTGGCTGAGCTGGAGGAGCAGGCCAAGACCGCCAAGAAGGGGATGTGGAGTGAAGGGACGGGGTCCCACACGCTCCGAGACCTCAAATACACCATTGAGAACCCCCGGCACTTCGTGGACTCCATGCACCAGAAGCCGGTGAACGGTGAGTCCTCTTTTTTTGGGGGGGGGGGGGGGGGGGGGGGGGCCCGCCCCGGGGCGGGGGGGGCTTTCCCTCCCCCCCCCCCCCCCCCCCCCCGGGCTGGGGGGGGGTTCGGGGGGGGGGGGGGGGGGGGGGAGGACTTCTCCTGTCTACTCTGCCTTGCCAGGTTTTGTGCCTTGCAGAGGGAGCATCTGCGCCCCCGGTTTATCCTGGTGCCTTTTCCAGCTTGTGTGTGTGTGTGTGTTTGTGTGTGTGTGCACTTATTAAATACGTGTGCCCACCTCACCAGAAGTGACTCTAGGCGGCTTACAGGCATTCAATTAAAATGCACTATAAAACGTTGAATAAGGATCTTGAATTTAACAATTCAATTAAACTAAGCAGGGTGGAGAGTCGGGGAGCCCAGCCTGCCCAAGGGGGAGGTGAGGCTATTCCGGTAGTCTCCTCCAAGGGGATGCCAGGCCTTCTAGGCCCATCGGAAGGCCCAAAGGGGGTGGGGGGGGTGGGAGGCACAGCCGAAAGGGTTCCTCCCTGGTCCCCAGCAGCTGGGATCCCTCTCGGCAGGTCAGTCCCACCGGGGCCAGCTGGTTCTCCAGGGAGTCTGGCCACCAAGGAGGTATAAGTAACGCCTTGAACCGGATCCTGAAGCACACTGGCAGCCAGGGTAGCTCGTGGAGAAGGAGGGGAACACGGCCCGACCACGAAGCCCTGCTCTGCCCCGGGTGGGCCTCTGTACGGGGGCTCTTCAAGGGCAGCCCCCCATCGAGCGCACTGCATGGCAGCGGGCCGCACCTGAGTGGGCTGGGGCTGGAGAGAATGAGTGCCGGGAAGGACACAATGGACGCCCCCCGTGAGTTGTGCAGAGGCCCCCTTTGAGCAGGAGTCCCCGTCCAGGAGAGTCCCCAGGGGGCGGCCCCATCCAGAACTAGAAGTGATAACCGCATCCTGAGGTCCCTTTTTCCCCCCACAGCCACTCAGGCTCGGGGGGGGGGGAGCAGTGACAGTATCCCTTGGGGGCCGGAATGGGAATGCCAGCTGGAGGGCCAGGGGCTCCCTGTTGGCCGCTCATCCCATTGGGGTGAACGCTCTCACCCGGGGCCTTCCTGTGGCTGGTGAAAAGGAGCCAAGAGAGCCACAGGCCACGGGAGCTGGTCTTCTCACTCCCTGTCCACACCGGTTGGGACCGGCCTTGGAGAACGGAGCCAAACCGGGGCAGGACTGCACCAGCCGGCCCTGATCCCCACAGCCGGCAGCGTGGCCGATGGTATCGAGGGCCCCATGCAGCTCACCTCTGTCCTGGGCTGCCCCCCAGCCCCATAAGAGCTGCTCCAGGCAGCTGCTGCTGCCCTCCTCCTGGGCATGGAGTTAGGAGGAGGGCTGGGTGAGGGTGGGCATCGCTGGGCCCCTGTTAAGCGGAGCTGCCTCCTCCTGGCTGGGATTTCCCACCACCCTAATGGAGGCTGGAGGGGCGTCCACTTCCAGGCAGCCCCCTGCCCCCAGGGGGGAGGGGGGGGTGGAGTCTAGTATCCCTGAGAGTGTGTGTGGGGGGGGCTGCTTGGCATTCCCCCTTGTGGCTTAGGCCCTCGTGGGTTCCCCTCCCTGACCCGGCTCCCCCCTTCCAGTGCCCCACGTTCAAGCGGGAAGCAGACGGCACGGAGACCCCCGAGCCCTTTGCGGCAGAAGCCAAGTTTTTCACAGAGTCACGGCTGCTGCAGAGGGACGTGCAGATTGTCCTGGAGAGCTGCCACAACCAGAACATCCTGGGCACCATCCTGCACCCGGCAAGTGGGGGCGCTGGTGATGGGTGGGGTGGGGGCTCTGCCGTGGCGTCCTTGGGGCACCCAGAGGCTCACTTTGGAGAGCGGGGGAGGGGCTCCTGGCCAGAAGAGCGACTGGAAAGTCTGCCTGGGCACTCAGCCCGGCCACTTGCTGGTCATCTTTAGGAGGCACCCAGCCCATAATGACTCGGGCTGCATACAGGCCAAAAGCCCCGAGGGGAAGGCAGCCTGCCGTGCTGCCCCAAGGCTGGAGCTCCTTGATCCTCGAAGGGGCGGGTGCCACGGCGGAGAGGCCTCGGGTCTCCTAACGTGGCGGCAGCGCTTGGCAGGCGGCCTCTGCAGTTCCCTTGGGCCCTTGGGAGAAGAACCGGGGGTGTGTGTGTGGGGGGTTGCTCTGATGGGCAGCCGATGCCTGGACTGCGCTGGAGGCCGCCTCTGGGCCCCGGAACCGGCTGGCCAGCCAGCTGCTCCTTAGGCAGGTCCAGCCTGCTTCCCCCCTTGTTGCCCCTTCTCCCCCCCCCCCGCCCAGCCCTATTGTGCGTGGGGGCTGCCTGAGAGGGGCCGTCTGCTGGAAGGGGGCTGGGGGGGGCGGGGCAGCAGGAGCGGTTGCCAAAGAGTGTCCCTGACAGCCGCCTTCCCTCCCCCCCAGAACGGGAACATCACGGAGCTGCTGCTGAAGGAAGGATTTGCGCGCTGCGTTGACTGGTCCATGGCCGTCTACACCCGGGGGGCAGAGAAGCTGCGGGCCGCAGAACGGTAATGCAGGCCCCCCTGCCTGGGGCTCTTCCGGAGGGCGGCTGCGCTCAGACCCTCGGAGGCCTCTGAGCAACCTCCAGCAAAGCAGCCACCAGCTTCGGGGTTGAAATGGGAGGCAGGGAGGGCCGCTTCCCCTGCACCCCCCCCCCAGCGGGGTGGGTGGGTGACTGGGCCCTGCCTTAAATTGCTGCTTGCCTGAGGCGGCTCCGCAGGCTCTTTCAAGGGGAGGCGCACAGAACCTGCTGTGGTAGCTCTGCCACCTCGGAGAAGCGTTGGGGTCTCGCGCGGATGTACGCAGAATTGTTTGGGTTAGAAACGCTTGGAGTCTCAGCCAGTTGTAGCCGAGGTTTTCGACCTGGGGGGGACAGGACGGGACCATGGGGCACCTAGTTTGGACCAGGTGCTATTGCGGGGCTCAGGCAGCACCGCTGGGTGGGGCAGGAGGAGGAGGAGGAGGAGGAGGGGCACTTTGTCTTGGGGATTTTTAGGCCTCTTCTCTCCTGAGAACCTGTCACTGGCACCCCCTGGGGAGGGCGAAGGTGCGGGTGTGGGATGTGCGGCTGCGGGGCATGTGCAGTGTGCTTCCCAAGGCCCCCGTTCTGCATCAAGGAGGGAGGAGGACAGGCAGCAGCTTCAGGTGGGCCCTGGGGCCATGTCAAGCCTCCTTCCCGGTCTCTGTCTGGCCCAGGTACGCCAAGGAGCACAAGCTGAGGATCTGGAGGGACTATGTGGCTCCCACGGCCAACCTGGACCAGAAGGAGAAGCAGTTTCAGGCCAAGGTAGGCGAGACCTTCCGGAAGGGCCCTGCGAGCGATCGCTCGGGGGGGGGGGGGGCGGGCGGCTCCCAGGTGGATGGGAAGAGACGCATGCTAGGG